GGATCCGAGAGTCTATTATACGCTCGAAGAGCTTCATGGTGTGGGACATGACCTTTATGCCCCGATAATCGCCACACTCCTGCACCGATCCCTTCCCTTTGAAGACTGGAGTGATAATACTCAGTCTCCATTGGTTAGGGATTTTACCGTTGAGGAGCACGCGATTAAAGAGGCCGGTAAGGATGCCCACTCCACGGGGACCCATTGCCTTCCAGGCCTCGATGGGAACCACATCGGCTCCGACAGCTTTCCGATTCTTCATGCGACGAAGAGCTAAGTGGACTTCCTCAGGCGTTACCGGTCGCACTAGTCCCTGATTCGGTGGGAGGACCGGTGGCTGTACCTCTCTATGCTGCTGATTCAGCAGCTCGTGGAAATATGAGCGCTATCTCTCCTTCACCGCATCGACCTCGCATATAAGGTTGCCATGAGGGTCTTTAATGCAGCGACACTTGGAAATATCTTGTGCCGCTAAGACCCTCGAACGTGCCAGCTTAAAGATAAGCTTCTGCCCCTCAGACGACTCCAACTTGTCGTACAACGGCTGCAAGTGGTCCCGTCTGGCTTTGGCTACAGCTTTCTTAGCGGCACGTTTGGCATCCCTATATGCCTCGCGGTCTTCAGAAGATCCGGACGCTTTCCACGTTTTGAAGCAGTGGGACTATATATGGGCTAACTATTATATTACTATTGCTGCACGCATCAGGAAGGTTGAGGTAAAGCGTTTCATTGAAATAGGTAGTAAATCTATACGACATAAGGGTGGAGTATTCCGAACCATCTAAGGAGGAATACTACACATAGAAATATTTTTGTACGACGAATGAGCGGTATATAGAAAAACTTAGTTAAGTTTATGTTATACTGGAATGTTTTTTTTTAATACTTTTAAATGTAATAAATACAATAAATAATAATAACTATGAAGAATTAAACTTATTTGTAAAATGCCTGCACACTCTCCAAAATGTATCCGATAAAAAACCACCAAGTAGGCCCACAATGACTGAGACTTAGAAGCTTTGACCCTCAGGGCGTCAAGCTTACCATCGAAAACATGTAGCTCCCTTGGCACCACCTAGGGGTTACGTGTAGGGTATAGCTTACGGATGGGAGTTATTAAACCTCCAATTTTACAGATATTTTCAACGTTTGTGTTCCATGCAAGTACGAGTAATACAGGTACGCGTATTGAGGCGATTGCGTAGTGTACAGTGACACGCCCAGCTTTACCCACAACCGCTTATTTTACCGCTTATTATAAGAACCGAAGAAATCCAGTAGCAGTAGAGCTCCTTGAAAAAAAGTTGGTCCAGGAAAGTAATGTCACTTTACCTATTTCAGTAGGTAAAGTGACATTCAGAGTAATGTAAGCATTACTCAGTTCCAGTTTTGAACGGTAAGGGCACTGGTGAAATTATCGGACTTGTTAACTTATGTCTAAGAGTGCGGGCGCGGAGGTAGTGCCCTTCAGATCTTTGCGTTTTAAAGCTTTAAGATTCTAAGTGGCATTACGATGCTATGGACAGGCGTGTTGTTTACCAGGCGCACGACTGGTTCGCCACGTCATTTGATATTATAAGAAAAAGCTGTACGACGATCACTAAGCCACCTACCATGTATGACTATTGTGGATTATTGCATATTCCTAAAATCGTGAGAAAAAAAAAACCGATTACCAAATTGCAAAACTTGGTTTATGGTAAGATGTTGTTAAACGTAGGTACATAGCATACATCGTCAAAATACCATGTAAATACGTGAATACAATAAGCTCACATAAATAAGATCTCTTAGGTGGTTCTCACGGGTGACAAGTGTCCCAGCGACACGCAACACTATGACATTATAATAGCATTAATTTGTATACTATAGGCTCGCAGCATGACGCACGGCTGTAGTATTAACATGTACTTTGCGACCCGATAGCAATGTGAGGATGTAAGGACGACTTTAGGATCGCATTGTCTTTATGATTAGTCAATGCGATCCTAAAGTCGTAGTGTCGCATATCATTTCAGTGCCTTTTGCTGTTCCAGTTACTTGCATGGTACACCGAAATAAGCAAGTAATACCCCGCACACGCAGCTCGAGCCGTTACATATTAATTGCATCGTTTACAAACATCTTTCTTACTCAGAAAAAATCTCTTCATTTGAAGAATGTATAATAATCCACAATAGTCATACATGGTAGGTGGCTTGGTGTTCGTCATACAGCTTTTTCTTATAATATCAAGTGACGGAATGAACAAGTTGTGCGCCTTGTGTTAAGCGACACGCCTGACTATAACAGTTGAAGTGTCACTCAGACGTTTAAATCACAAAGATCTGAGGGGCACTGTCACTTCGTCCGTCACCCTGAGACATAAGTTGACAAGTCTCATATGCCTGTAATTTCACCAGCACCCCTACCCTTCAAAGTAGGAACACAATAATGCTCACATTACTGCTTGGCGGCAAAAATGGTTATCATGGCAGTACTTCCCTTTCACGAAGAGCTCTACAACTACTAAAAAGCTGGGAAACATTGCAGCCTATTTCCTGGATTATCCCATATTCTGTAGCAGTTTTTGATGACACTAACCGAATTATTCAGGTCCAATTCAGGATTAATTATATTTAAGTATAATCTATTACAATTTATCAACGCGCAAGTGGCAAAATCCGTAATCTCCAATTCAATTGTGTCATCGGTCGATTAGAGCCATTCATGAATAAATTGATAAATCTAAGTGTTATCGGACGTTGGGCCTTCATTGTCATCAAATTATAAAACGGAGAATAAGGCTTCTCTAAGTCCAATTCCTTTACAATTACAGCTTTATGTATTTCAGTGTCGTCGTATCAAACATATTGTTTAAAACATACGTACCGAATTATGTTTATGACAGGATACAAAACATAATATTTAAAAAATGAGTAGGTACTGTAAGGGTCGTAGCTGTGGGTTAGCGTAGCGAGAGATCACATTTCAATGAGAAACGAGGAAAGTAATCATAAATAAAACTTTACTACGTGTATTCAAAGCGAAGCTTTTTCTAGAACTACCCAGATATTATTTTTTTTACAATGTTCTATTTTTTTATATAATTCTAAATACAAACCTACAAATGAATTCCGCCAGTGCTAATAAAAATCATACAGCCTAGTCTACAGTGCTAACCTTTAGGGAGTAAGATCATAAAAACAGCCTGATTTCACCCACTACTGATTACTAATAAATTATTTACTAGTAATATTATTTTGCTTGTTCACAACACAAATTAATTAAAGCTTGAACAGAAAAAGTATAAAATTTAGTTTCTGAACAAAAATGTTACAACTTTGGAAATAACGGTACAGAGTATATACGGGTCACAGAATATACAGGATGAAATAAATCAATGCGACATAAATGGTAACTACCGTAAATGCTTAAAATTCCTAATTTTATATAAGGGAAACTATCTTTTTATTTTTCTTAATATGAATTATATTGTATTATATAAGATAACCATAACATTTGTTCAATAAACATTGAGTCTTACGATTAAAAACGTCCACGAAATCTAATATTAATAAGGTTTCATGACATCTTTAATTGCATTTTAGGTGGTTCCATTCCCGGTTCAGGTAAGCGTTTCAAAAACTCTGCAAATGCAGTTATTCATATTAATAAAAATAAAACAATGTTTCCCTTAAGTTGAATTAGCTACCTTAAGCATTCAAGGTAGTTCCCTTTCATGTCCCATTGACTTTTTCCACCATATACTAATCAATAATAAAATAATTTTTATTAAGTTTTTTTTTGTTTCCTAGGTGGCGTGGATAAAATCGGATACAAAAACCATTCTAGCAATCCACACACGCATGGTAACTTTGAATCCACGATTATCCGTGACACACAATGGGCATAACACGTGGAAACTGTATATCAGCAATGTGGAGCCGAAGGACTCCGGCACCTACATGTGTCAGATTAACACGGATCCTATGAAAAGTCAGGTGAGTGAAATTTTAAGATATAGTGATCATAGTACGATAATACAAGTATGTTAACTCCATACAAACGTAGCAATGTGGCTTATATGTTTGCGCGTCCGCCGCGTACTATGTACGGACACATACAGCCGCACAATCTCACGTTGTACTCGCGTTGCGTAGCGCTAGTCGTCACACGCGACTTTTAAGCGTATTGTTCATCCGTGTGGGCGGACAGACACATAAACCGTGCTGCTACGTTTTATAGAGTTACCATACGTGTCTTATTGCAACGACATTACATTACATTACATTTACATTTACATTACATTACATAATGTCGTTGCAATTAATTCTGGAAAAGCGTAAAAAGAGTATTTGTTATTCCGCACGTACGTTGTCCGACTAATATCGTAAATCAGGTAAAACACTAACTTAACACCAAAAAATTGTGGAAATGACTTAACTTGAAAAACTGCCAAACCATTTGAAAGTGCAAAATTTATATGGAAATACATTACACGTTGCATTCTTCAATTTTTCTATAAAGGATGCAATGCATATTGACATTTAAGAGGTCTTCAAATGAGCACATTTGAAGATCTCTTTGTAGCCCTAAAAACAAAAATGCCAGGTTATGCCGTACTAATTACAGTCTTACGTTGATTCTATGGCAGAAAGGTCGGTGCCTGTTGTGGGACACTATGTGTGTCAGTACATTTGCATCGTCTCACCGATACGTTGCTTTGTTTGAAAAAACAAATATACGCGAATTAAATCCGGAAAAATAGCTTCATTTCCTATAAATAAAAACGACTAAGTCTGTGACGAATTGCATTATTGACTTGTATGGGACGAAGCCTATGTTCTGGATTGATTAAGTCTTAGTTGTATTATTTTAGCTTTCAAAATTATTATGTATACCTGTATTTGTTCCATTTACTTACCTGTGAAATAATTAAAAAACCCTTTTACTTGTTTTCTGTAAATGTTGCGTTGAGTCACTGTTTTACCGAGAGGTGCTATATAGGTATGCAATAAGTATACTTGTTAGCGAAAAAACAAAACAAAAGCTTAGCTGACTTTTTGCTTTGTCGTATCTTACGATACTTTATCGTACTTACGTGCATGCTATTTTTTGTGGTGTGTTTGTACGTGTATTATCTCAATAAACTTTTATTATTATTATGATTCCTTTGTGTAAATAGGGGTAAAACAGTACATTTTATTCTTTCTTGAAATCAATTCCCTGGTTAAAGTTCGTTAGTTCCCGTTTTACTGAATAAACAACATAAGTCCTTTGTTAGAACGCTAACGCAAAACACGATTATCTCGTACCGGTGAAATGCACTCACATGCAGTTTAAAAGGCGTCCTCACCACTCTCGATCTCATAAATCACGAGTACTGCGATTTGAGGGAGGATATATGATTATAAATCGCTTGCTGTTAGTGGACGGGCACAAGCAGTTTTCGAATCAAGATGCACTATCGTGAATTTCAAATTCCAACGGATCGGATTCTCAATTTGAGTACAGCTGATTTTCTCATGTGGCTTACGAATATATTTCGGTGAGTGTGTCCATGACTTCCATGAGCTTCCGCCCGCCCCCTTTTACCATTAAACATCCAGACATTTTGTAGAGCTCCTTATGAAAGAGTTCGTCCAGGGCAGTACTGCCACCTTACCTATTTCTGCTGCCAAGCAGTAATGTCAGCATTACTGTGTTCCGGTTTTGCTGGTGAAATTACAGGCACGTTGGACTTACCAACTTATGTCTCAGTGCCCCTTAGATGTTTGCGATTTAAAGCTATGAGTGGCACTGTAAGTGTTATGGACAGGCGTGTAGCTTACCATCAGGTGCACGACTTGTTCGTCCCGTCACTTGATATTATTATGTATAAAAAAAGCGTACGGCGAAATCTCATCCCTATTTGGTCGATATTACCTTAACAAAAGTTGACGAAAAGCTCTGCCTTTCGACAAGAGCTTTCCGCCAACTTTTATTATGCGTACAACCTTGGAATGGAATTCAATGCCTGTGACTGTGTTTCTGAGCACATACAATGCGAATATCTTTAAGGTGCGACTGGATAGGCATCTGCTGTTCGAGCTCGGTGCATCGTAAACCCTGTCTTTGTTCCAGGGCTAAGTAGTGATCATGAATAAGTCCATATACTCAAAAAAGAGAAAAAAAAACTACGTAGTATGTAAACGAAGTATAAATACCTAAATACTCAATTTTCAAATTAGAAAATGTAATATACATGTACATACACAGATTTATATACTGTTGATTATTTATTTTGTTGTTCTTTTTTATTTCGCTTGATTATATAAATAGAATGTTGTCATCTATAATTAGCGGTGCTATATGTATGTAATGCAACTGAGAACATTTGTATTATATGTGGGTATTGGTTATTAAATAATCAAATATAAATAATAGTAATTAGAGTCGGTATTCCGAAACCCATACCGCGTACATGCTATTGCAAAAAGCATTTTGTACGGAATCAATAATATTGTGCTTTGCAAATAAATGCTTTTATAGATAAATTTGCAACGTAATTATAAATAACAGCAAGGCTAGCATGACAAGACGCGACTTGTGCGAGAGCGATATAAAGCTCGAGATCTCTATGCGAGAATAGCAGTATCTCGCGTTTTATGTCGCTCTCGCGCTAGTCGCGCCCTATCGTGATAGCCCCACAGGAATATATTATACTCGGAACCGTGTCTGATATTAAAATGCAATCGATTCATTCTCCAGATTACATATATCAGCAGCTTCACCTACATACCTTTTATATTTTAAATTTATAATTTGTTCCTTTTTGAATCCATTTAAGTGCGTTTTTTCTAGGAAACCATCAAATTCACTGTTATAAGTATCTATTAATAAGTCATGAGATTTTATTTTATTACTCAGTAAAATCCTACTAAGACTATTATTACAATTGGGAAGTGTTTCAGAAAATTATTCAGTATGATTAATTTAGAAATTTATATTTAGAAATATTATCTTGGTCGTATTTCGGACGTGTTCCTTCTTAGTTATCAATTTATAACCGTAGGCACACTACTGTCATTTTAACAAGGACTATTTTTCCTCGTTACCTCTAATGCCATGTCGTCGTTTCGGGTCTCGCCATGTATAATAAATAACGTACTTACTGGGGCTCTCATATGCACTGTTTCTTTCGATTCAGCATTCTAGTTACGCTGTTGTGACTCGCGTGCTGTATTCATCTTCCTAAATAAGATTTAAGTCCGTATCTCTGTATGCATTTTCCCTTAGATTAGTAAATATAGGTATTAAGCAAATTCATTTCGTAGTAGACGAAGAGGCACATGTGTGTGATATGTATAACTGCCTACGTGGCCGAACGGTTACCATGCCGGACTGCCACGCTGAGGTCCCAGGAGCGAGTTCCGAGTCGTGAGAAATATTTGTATGGCCTATATTTATTTCTCTATATAGTTTGGGTGTATTTTTGGTTGTCTATGTGTGTGTCCATGGCACCCGCGACACAGGGTTTCCCTAGTGCGGGGCTATGTTGAGTGTGTGCGTTATTATTATTAATTACTCTCATAATAACGTCCTTATTACTTATATTACAAAAGGCGAACGAACTACGCTGAACCTTTTACAATTTTCTAGCAATAATCTCTCACAGAAAGTAATAACACTCAATTTCATGTCACTCGCGAAAGATGCTATGGCATAATTTTAATTATTTTAATATATTATTTCTACGACGAGCTTGCCTCGCTTGCAGTCGCATTTTGTCTGTGTAGTTCCAACTATGTACAAAGCATGGCCAGTCATCTCATTCCCAGGATCGTAGTCTTTGATGTGGGCATTTCCGAATAACTACCAAATATTTTACTTAGCTCCGTAAATTCCACAGCAAACGCTCAATAAGATAATGAAATATTTCTTAGAAATTTATACGAAAGTCTTACGTAAAGGTTTACGTTAACTTCATGTTAAACAAAAATTATTACAAAGACCTAGTTGGAGTTAAAAATTGTCCCATTTTTGGTCGAGTTTGGTCTTTTTTTTCAATTAATAAATAATTTACTTAAGTCACGGGCCGTTATCATTTGTACAGTCTATATATCGACTTTGTTAATAACGTTATATTTATAGATTCGAGAAATGTACAAAATTTGATTCACAGTACATACGTTTTTAGGGATAGTCAATTGGTTTTTTTTAATGTACCAAGTGACGTGACGAACAAGTCGTGCACCTGATAGTAAGCGACATGCCTGTCCATAACAGTTGCAGTGTGACTCAGCTCTTTATATCGCAAAGATCTGAGGCGCACTGCCACTGCGCCCGTCACCCTGAGACACAAGTTGACAAGTCCCATGTGCCTGTAATTTCACCAGCACTCATACCCTTCAAAAGTGGAACGCATTAATGCTGACATTACTGCTTGGCGGCAAAAACAGATGAGGTTGCAAGTACTTCCCTGAACGAGCTCTTTCACAAGGAGCTCTACTGCTACTATGGTCATGTAGCAAGTACAATACAATAGTATTAAAAATATTCTCAACATTAATTTTAACTTTTAGCACTTCAAGCATTGACTTACAAATAAATGGACGACGGGTCTAACACAAAAACCACGAAAAAAATGTCCCAAGTCAACCTATTTAAACGTAGTGACATGTAAAGGAATATGAAAAATCTAAAACGTCGAATTTAAATTGTAATGTCATCGCAGTGTTATCTAATTTTGCTTGTTTCGCTGTCAGCCGAACAAACGAAAACTAAAGCGTGAATGACGCTCTGTATACGATTTTAACGCCCTATAAGTTCGGACACTTTTTAGCGCGGACCCGACGTCCATGTAATTGTAAGTCAATGACTACAAGTCACATTTTTTCTAAACAAGCCGGTTACCATAGTAAATGCCAACAAAATGTTTAACATTTTCATAAAACAGTTTCCAGTAAAAACGTTAATCGGAAAAGCAGACGTCGTTAGTCAGTAAAAAACGCCTAGAGAC